GGCATCGGAATCATCAAGGGCGATGAACGACCTAGGGACTCTGTAATCATCATCCTTGCCTACTCCGTGCTTCTCAAGTTCGTTCGGGGCCAGTGTCGGTGCTTGCTATTTGGTTTCTCCCTTCCTATTCGGCACCGTGTTCTTTGATGTTGAGAGTGCAGACATCGGGATCACCTCATCGACTGCGAACATTTATTTTGCGGCCGACTGTTCTTCGTAAACCATCTTAATTCCTTCCGGTGTAGGGAATTTTAGTGCATGGTGTAGTGTCAAGTGTACTGCCCTCATGTTGTTAACCCAAGGCCTTCTGAATAAGGCGTTACACCTTATGTCCCCATCGATCACATAGAATTTGGTATCCTGAATTGTCCCTGCGGTATGTACTGGCAAGGTTATTTCTCCTTTGGTAGTTTTACATGCCATGCTGAATCTGCTTAAAACCCCGACTGCTGGCATTATTTGGTCTTGTAGACCAAATACTCTACGACCCTCGATCTGATGATGTTGGCCGAGCTACCTAGATCAATCAACACACGCTTAACTCGAGATTTATTTATAAGTACAGATATTACCAGTGCATCATTATGTGGTTGTACTATGCCTTCGGCATCCTCATTGTTGAACGAATAGGTTCCCTCCGGGATATAATCTCGGGTTTGTTTCTCCCTTGTGATGGACAACTTAGTGCATTTCAGCATTGGTCCTTGGGGACATCGACTCCTCCAATGATAATGTTGACGACGTGGTGAGGTTCTTCTTGCTCGGTCTATTTGTTGGAGTCCCTGTTCCTGAAGTGATTTTTAGTTCGATCACTCAGAAATTTCCGGAGATTCCCTTCATTGAATAACCGAGCCACTTCTTCCCTTAACTGTCGGTAGTCCTCGGTTCAATGGCCATGAGTGGCATGATACTTACAAATCAAGTTAGAGTCTCTCTGGCTAGGGTCAGACAGCAATGTTCGAGGCCACTAGTATCCTTGATGCGACCGATGGCAGATATGATGCTGGCAACATCGACATTGAAGTTATATTTCGATAACCTTGGTGCTTCCCTGGCCCCGAGTGGCATGTCGAAATCATCTGCTCATAAGTCCCCGGCTACTGTGGCCTCGATCATTCCTCTTTTAGTTTCTCACAGAGTTATGCCTAGATCTGTTACTCCTTCGATCTCCAATATATGGCTGATACCAGTCTCTGTTTGGTCTTGGTTCATGATCGACGACGCTTTAAGACCTGCCATTAGTTATGATGGGATAAATGGACCCAGAGGGGGTCCCGAGTTGATCCTCCTCGACTCTGATTTTTTATTGGTACCTGTTGTGGACGTCGGCCTAAGTTACCGTTGGGTACTCTATCAAATTCTATATCAACTATTGTGAAGTTTGAGTCCTTGAATGAACGCTTGAACAGCCCAATCGTCTGCAACCAGAGGCAGGTCCATCCATTCCATTTGATACCTCGATACGAATTCCCTGAGCATTTCGTTATCTCTTTGCTTTACCTTGAAGAGGTCAGATTTTTTGGTCTCTACTTTGATGGCCCCAGCATGTGCTTTTACAAAGGCATCTGCAAGCATAGCAAACGAATAAATAGAATTTGGGGGTAAGTTGTGATAACATATCATTTCTCCGTTTGACAGGGTTTCTCCGAACTTTTTAAATGGAATCGACTTGATCTCGTCATCTTCTAAATCGTTCCCTTGATAGAGCACGTATACGAGGTCAAGTGCTCATTTGGATCATTTCTTCCGTTATACTTCGGAATATCGAGCATGCGGAACTTCTTCCGGGATCGGCTTCGGTGCTGCGCTCGGAGAAAAAGCCGTTTGGACAAATTTCTTAGAGTCCAAGCCTTTCAGTATCGCGGGCGCTCTTGGAATTTGATCAACTCTGGAATTATCGGTCTCCACTTTTTTTGTCGTTGGCCTTAATTTTTTTCTTCCCCGATTCAACCCGCTTTGTCAGTTCCTCAAGCATTTTTATTATTTCGGGGTCGGCCCCGGTCTCAGCTTCACCCGGCCATTCTGTGACTTGCTCAATTCTTCAGGCGTTCTCCCGGAATGGTTCGGGCTCAACTCTGCTCGGGGCGTGGATTTGATTTTGCAGCTGCACTATTTACGCTTGTTGGGCTTGTAACATTTCGAAGATCAACCGTAGACTGACCCCGTCACCTTTGCCTTTGGGCGCCCCTCAAGCCGTTGGTCGGGCTCCTCCACGAAGGCTGTTTTCAGGGTCGATAGGCAAGTCGGCGTCGATGGTCACATGTGAATTAACATCGACGGGTTCAGCAACTGGGACTCTATTGGGATCTGCAGGGGGCATCTCATTATTAGGTACCATATTGTTGTTTTCGCCATGATGGCCAGATTCAGCATTAACGTTAAAGTGAGCAGACTGAGACTTTGATATTTTTCAAGCTATCCTGAAATTTAAATCTTGAAAAGCAAGCATAAAATAGAGTGTATCATGAATGTTTTCACCAACTTACCACTATTATCCTTAGCCCCACAGTGGCGCCAAACTGTTTACCCTTAAAATTTGTAACAATTGAATTTATACGCGTTTTTAAGGATATGTAGATTAATTCGATACAAGTGATTAATGACATTAGATAAACAAATTAAAGATAGAACAGACGGCCAAACCACTAGTGATACAGAATTTGGGCTCGGTTAAAAGCTTAACAAATAGCTTGCCTTTGGTTCGGAGCCAAACAATTGTGAAGAAGTATGAACAAAAGTAAGAACTTTGAATAACTTTTAGAAGCAGAGAAAACATATGTATATTGCCTTGATATGCGTGTTATAGAATGTTTTTTGAATAATAATCTTTCCCTTTATATAGTAGGGGAGTTTTACTCTAAGTATAATTCTAAGAAAAATAAAGATCTTCCTTTTCACTAATCATTGATCTATCACGTATACGGGCCGAGATTCACGCCGTAATATCTGGTCGGGCACAGATATCACGACCCTTTGTTAATCGTGTGTGAACGTTTGGCAATACTTTCCGAGGTATCGGAGTTCGAACTGGGTCTGGGGCATGGTTTCGAGGGCTCTGAGGGTAGGTGTTTTGTTCGGGCCTTGATACAAGAGGCTCCTAGCTTCGAATTTGATTCCTCGTAGTTATTTCTTTGCTTCGTTTTCCCCACCGGTAAATCGGGGTGCTTATTAGCCTCGGATTTACCTGTACACAAGATCCTTGTAAGAGTGGCATATATTTTTTTTCCACACGCGTTATATTTTTATTATTTTTTGGTAACTAAAATATATTACCCTTTCCGTCCCAATTAATGTGGCGTGTTTTTCTCGACATGTAGGTTAAGAAATAAAGGAAGAATTTTGAAATTTGTGGTCTAAAACAACTCCTGAATATTTGTGTGGCTATATCGTCTTATTACGGGTAAAGTATGAATTTTAGGGTTGAATTGTTTTCGAATAAGGAAGTATGACATTTTTTTGCAGACTAAAAAAGAAAGTGTGACATATAAATTGATAAAAATAAAGTATTAATCACTAGTAAGCAATACAAAACTACAACTTAACACACTCTTAATTAGCTGCGTTATATATATTGACCACTTCAAAAAGGATATCTAATGGGGGTGGTTGGAACTGAGAAGGGACAACAAAAATAGTATCAACTAATAGCCCGTTTGGCCAAGCTGTAAAAATCAGCTTATTTTGAGAAGTCCTTTTTTTCAAAAGTGTTTTTCTCAAAAGTACTTTTTGTGAGACGGAGTTTGTGTTTGGCTAATTAGTTTGAAAAGCACTTCTAAGCAGCAATTCGTGTTTGGCCAAGCTTTAAAAAACTGCTTCTAAGTATATTTTTCTCAAAAGTGCTTCTCAAAAAAGTGCTTTTGGAGAGAAGCTACTTTTTTCTGCTTCTCCAAAACTGCTTCTGCTCCTCCTCAAAAGCACTTTTTTTCCTTCCAAAAGCTTGGCCAAACACCTAAATCTTTGGCCAAAAGTTCTTTTGGCAAAAAAAAAAAGTACTTTTGGCCAAAAAGAAACTTGGCCAAACAGGCTATTAAGTTAGGTGACTAAAGAATTTTACGATTTAGTTTTGAACTCTGTCAGAGTCTTAGTGGATTCTATTTTATTATTTATTGTTTAAAATAAATGACACGTGACATAAGGGCTTGGGATAGCATTTGCTTAGATTATGATGAAAATGATCGGGCTTGTTTGGATATTGTACTTTATTATGAAAAATTAGGTAATGGCAACTATCAAATAATGAAAATCAAAAGTTAAATCTCAAGACTAAGTTCTAATGTCTAAGCATGTTGTCATCTCGTATTTCCGCGTTACTTAATTTTGACTTGGGCAAAATATTGGTTGTTCGAAGGTTCGTATTGGTTGGTAAGAAATTAAACACAAGGACTATGCAGTTCTAAATACCATTAATGGCGTACGCAACTTTTCTGCATCGGGTTCATCTGTATTTAGTACTTTAGATGCGGTATATAAATTTATGTGTAAAAAGATTCATTAAAATGGCGGTAAATAACATATATAAACTCATAACTTTAAGCATATAATGTGTTAAATAATTATAAATATCTTTTAAGTTTAACTTATAGAGCTTAAATCCTAGATTCACTAGTGATAAATATGGCTTGACAACACTCTTCATCTCAAGTTGATTTTTCTTTAGACAAAGCAGGTGAATACTTTTTCTTTTTTGATTTCTCATCTGGTATCGGTACCAACATTGGGGCTCGACTAATCCGAATTTACGCTGGAAAGTCCCACATTGGGAGTAAAGCGCTCCCTAACAGAGGCCACTCCCTTTTCAACCTTTACCATCTACTATCCCCCACTAAACGGAATTATGCTAGTTTTGAGATGATTAAGCTAATATATATTGGAGTTATTTTCTTGTGTTTCAGTCAGAAAAAGTTAACTTCTAATCCTAATACTTGTCGTATATGTTAGAATTCATAATGTGATAGGTCTGATGAAATCATATTTTTAATCAAGATATATAACATGCAAAGTTGTGAAACTGATTCTCAAATATAACCATGTGCATAAAACCATATATTTCTCTCGACATTTTTTCTATGTGGTGCAATAGCAACGCTACTTGTAGTATACAATTCATTGTGGACGTAAATAAAAAAGATGAAGTCATTAAAAAAGTTACAAAATGCCATGTCTATAGAAGACAAACTCAGTAGCAAAGAGGTAATAGATTTTCATCTCTTTTATGGGATAATGAAATCAATTTTGTGGTAAGAGCAAGCACAATTTTGGGCACCAATATCTTCTGCAACACAAGGAGGTGTAACATTTCCATCTTTGTACCATTTTTTCCTTTGTTGCAATAAATCATTGACGAAATTGTCCAAGATTTCTCTGGTTATACCTGGCATAACAATAACATGCGCCATATCTCTCACACAAGAAAGCTGCCAACGACGAACAAATTCATGGTCACGAGGTCTCTCCAGGACAACTATGATACTAAGTTCATTGAGCATGACACTGATTCCTGCTTGTTGAAGACGATCTTTTAAGTATTTGGCATTGTCAAGGCATCTCTTGACGTCTTTTTGAAGCCCAATTTGACCTTTAGCACTTAGACTATACCACAAGAAGATTGGAGCTAAACCATTTCTACTTCCAGAAATTGTTGCATCTACTGAAGCAATATACTCAACTTTTCTTGAGAGATTGTTAATGTAACTTTTTCTTGTTATTTGAATTCCACAAGGCATTGGACATCCCAAGAACTTGTGACCAGAAATTGTGACACTTCCAATTGGTTTCTTGAATGAAATCATCTGCTGTAAAATACAAATCGCAAATGTTAGACATAATTTTATCTTAAGTTATAATACTCGAATATTTTAAGATGTAAGTAAGAAAAACGAACTTACATTTTTAATGAAAGGGATAATAAGCCCATTGAGTGCTGCATCACAGTGGATATAAAACTGGTCATGTGTATAGCCACAATCTTTAAGTGTTTGAAGAATAATATCAAGATCATCAACAGCTCCTTTGAAGGTAGTACCTATAGTAAAAATTACAACAATTAATCAAAATATGGAAGACAAATGATCCATTAATTATTATGAACAAGATTAAAGGGAAGATATACATTAGAATATTTACCAATTGTAACATTAATTATTGCTGGTTTGCCCTTGTTTTGAAGTAATTTTGCTTTCAAATCTGAATAATCCATCTCTCCATGTACTGATGTATTAACCATTTCAAAATTCATTCTGTACATCATCGCAGCTTTGGCGACCGAATAATGAGAGTCTTTTGATGCATATAATATCCCAGTTGGAAGTAATTCTCTCCTGCAAAAATAAAGTTAAATTTTAATTAAAAAAAATACTTTTATATTAATTGCTCTGGTTAAATTAATGATATAAATTATTAATATTTTACTCATATATTTCAACATTGACTTTCTGATCCCAAATTTCTTTAGCTTTGTTAGATGAGAAACAACTATCTAAGAGTACTTTTTTTACAAAAGTAAATAACTTTTTCATTGAAATAGAGTTTATAAACTTGGATGGCTGATTAGGTGCTTAATTATATTTTGCATAAAGCTAGAGTGGTTGAAGAAAGTGTTTCGGGCTCACGCAATCAAACATAATATATATATATATATATATATATCAAAATATTTGGTTAGGCTATTTCCAAAATTCTTTTTCTTTTCCAAATAGGAAATTACGAAATAGAGTAAACTAGTAAAAATTGGTGCATACCCCACCAAAATGCCATGGAGATTTCCTTCAGTACCACCATTTGTAACATAACCCCAATATTGATCTTTTTCAATTTCCCATAAGTCTGCAAACCAGTTCAGAACAGCCACTTCGAAATCTTTTGAATGAAAATCCACAGTGTTTTGAAGAAAGGGATCACCACAATTATTTAAGTGGAATTGTAAAAGTGGGGCTAAGCTCGCATAGTGCTCATAGCATATGTTCACTGGATAACCTGAAAAATAAAATAATCGAGCAAGATTTGAACATCTCAACTTTTGGAAATTTACATAAATAAATAAATATGTTATCCTTTTTCTTAGAGTATTATAGTTAAGTTTTCATTATAAATAACGTTGAGATGAACTGAGTCAGCCTATTTTGACAGCTCTAATCAGGAATTTGTAATAGATAAAGATAATAATTTTGTCGGGTCCATTTCCAAAATTTTGAAAGGTAAATATGCCTCAAATACTATTTGTCAAGTTCTCCTATTCAATACGAGTATTTTCCTAAAAGAAATTGTCAACCCCATATCGTGGAACGAGCAGTAGACCTAGACTTAGAACCGTCTCGCATGCCAATACGTAGAACACATAATATTTTATGTACACATATATACCAAGGATATTAGATGGGGAGGTTGGGGCACAAGACCGGAGAAGGGATTTATGTCGAAAAATTATACCGTATATGTAATGTTTTTATTATGTACAACAACAACAACAACATATCCAGTATTATCCCCCACCGTGAATTTTTTATTATGTACATATACTAGAAATTGGTTTTCTTAGTGAAAATTCTGCCTCCAGTACTGCTTGAACAATATTATGTATTAAAAAAAAAGAGAGAGACGAATTACCTATATGGTAGTTGATACGTTGAGAAAGAGTATCAATATAATTCATCAAAATACAGTCGAGACTTGGTCCATCATTCCTAGACCCTGGCTCTGTAACTGTAATATTCAAATTCTTTCTTGGTGTAGTTGCTGTTGCCACCTTCAGTCTTTTCATTTCTCCAAAATCTCCATTTGCTATTAAACCTCTGGGAGTTACAACCGATGGCTCAAAATCCTTTCAAGTATCACAGAAGAAAAACCATATTAATTTTCAAAAAAAAACATAATTGTTTTTTTGATGATTTAGAAGGTATTATTAGACCTAAAAAAACCATGCAAATGACTAAAAATGACAAGAAAAAGAATGTTCTCTGTGTGTGTGTGTGTTTCTGTTTTTTTGGTTTCCTTTGTCTTCAAGAAAACATATTAGAAACCATGCAGAAAGATGAAGCAAAAAACAAGAATAAGGATTAACCTAATTAGGTCCTCAGCTAAACCAAAAGGGAAAAAAATGAAGATAAAGATTCTTTTGGGTATTAATGAAACATGATAATAATTCAATTCCATAATCTGTACACTGCCCATGAGTTATATTTTAGTTTCATAAATGATAAAAATAAAAATATAAAAAGATCCGAATTAAAAAAAAAGTTGGCAAAGTAATGGAGATTTTAATGATAAGAAGAAATTGGATGAAATATTAGAATACCTTCTCAAATGATAAGCTTCCCATTCTTGGAGAGCTAAAGGTATTTTGAGTTCTTTTTTGTTAGTTTGGAATGGAAACTAAGTGCGATAGAATTATGTATAATATCCATGGGATTATATAGGTCTAAAAGATCGTGGGTTTGGGCACCAACCACAATTTTACTTTTTTATTCTTTTTCTTTTAACTTTAATCTTTTCTGCTTTTATCATCACCTTTTCCCCTTGGTTTCCCACTTTAACAAGTCTTTGAGTACTATTGCAAAAAAGTCCTCTTACTTATTTTGGTGTGTGGCCATTTTTTTGACCTCGTGTTACACAAGACTTGTTAGACTTTGCTAGCCATTTCTCTACCAAATTAATTGGTAGGTGAGAAAGTAAATCCAAAATTAAGTGTATTATTCATGCACAAGTGGTGGTGTCTAAACTCGAGTTTGTAATTGTTTCATTATTCTTTTTAAGCATTATCACCAACCACTAATGACATTTTTGTACGTTCTTAGCATAGAATGGTTTTTGATTTGATGTCTACTACAACTACTTCTTAGCTAATTTTTACTCCACAATAATAACTTCAAACCATTTTTTACCCCCTAACTGTGGGAAGGCTTATATATATATATATATATATATATATATATATATAT